ACCTTTTTATATACCTACCTGCTATGTAAATATTTGCCTATGTCAAACGTTGGAATTCTGTCATTTTTCCATTTCTTAACTTTCAGTCAACATAAATTAAACTCCCAATATAAGTATTTTTCATCCCAAATCAAAAAATAAGATAGTAAAATCCATTTATTGTGATATAAAAACATTATTATTATCGTTCTAAATAAATGACCGCACGCCTATGATACGTCATGAAATTACAAAGGACGCGCCGACCAAAGGTTTTTATGCTATTTCAAGTGACTTCAGATAAAGTATAAGTAGGATTTACATGTGCTTATTGAAAGTAACCCTTTTTTACCTGCCGTCGGTATGGAGCTCTCTGATCGAGGAACGGCGCTTCAACATCAAGTTTCTCGCAAAGCTAGGCAATAATGGTCGTCAGGCAAATAAAGAGCCTCACAAGTGCATCTTGTCTCAGGGGAAACCATATTGAAATACCCGAACAATTGTAAAATAAGGTTATTCCACTTTTATACGTATTTTCCGGACAAACCTCGTATATCATAACATACTTCACTTATTTCTGTCAGTGTTCTGGGTTCTTATTGAGCATAATTCAAAAGTTACTCTGCATGATTTTCATAACCTACAACAGCCGAAGTTCAATTATCGCCGCACCCGTATAACGTAACTTCTGAAACTTTCGATATGTAACTCTGTAATTTTTCTCTTTATTGTTATAGCTCAGAATATGAAATCGACAACCATGTGTACGAAGGTGTGACAAACACAGTATTTTATCAACCAGATGGAAACGTATTAACAAATGAAGAGTCAGAATTCATAGCTTCTTACATGCACTCGAATGAAGAGTATGCCAGGTATTGTTCTTGCATTTTGCTGTGAAATTAAACATTATAACGATTGTGAAAATCCCCGACGATACCTTGATAATTTAAATGATTGGTGCGCGATCAATAAACTTGATTCAAATCTTGTAAAAATGTAAGATCTCGAGCTTTTCTCGCAAAGCAAATTCGGTACTCTTCAACTACCAGATTTACAACGTAGTTATAGATAGATGTCAGTCTTTCAAAGATCTTTGAATTGATGTCCAGTGGGAAAATTGACATTTCAAATTTGAATTACGCGGTAACCGTATACGCGAGGAAGTGGGGAGAGGTTGATCGACGCTTTCGGGTTAAATAGTCACAATGGAACGTTGGACCGGATCGTAACGGGCTTTCGCTATTGAGACTTACTTTAAGAGTTGTGATTCATACGCAGAAGACCTTCGGAAATTTTGTACACGATACAACATTCGCCGATCAAGAGATGCTCCAAGTAAGAACCTATTAATCGATGGTCACGGTGAAAGCACGTTTTCCTCAAAAAGTTATATCGAAGTTTGGAGACATTGACTGGCCTCCTAAGTCACCCGACCTCCCGCCAAGAGATTATTTTTTGGTCGGGTTATCTAAAGTCAAAAAGTGTATTCCAATAATCCACGAACACTTGAGGAGCTTAAGGACAACATTCGACATTCGTGTCTGAAGGGATGACAAACATTTGGACGGAATGATATTCAAGAATGTGTTGATAGTAGAAAATATTTTATTTTCATTAAGTTTGTAATATTTTTTTTCTCACTGGCACTTAGAAAGAAATTTTGGAGATTCCGCCGTAAAGCGGTGAAGTGGGGGTTAACACTCTCGATGGTGATAGGCATCATTTTTGTTTGCAGTGATAATTCCGATCCAGACGACCTATGTGATCCAGAACCCGAAATGGACGAAGAAATCCAGGCGGCATTCAAAGAGTTCGTGAAGTCTAGCAAGCACTAGCTCATACGATTTCGCAGTTGTATGCTGTTATCTTTATTTTGCTGTGTAACTGCCGCTATTTAGTGAGGGTGTACTAATCAAAAAGTGCGAAAAAGATACAAAAAAAAATGTGTAGGTTCCAAAGCAAGTTAGTGTCACGATTGTTTAAAATAGGTGTATTTTTATAATATTACTGCAACACGGTAATTATTACAGAGCAAAATAGAGAACGTGAACATAGTTGATGTGTGTATCATTGCTGTCAATATCATTTTTTATGCTGTAATTTTTCCTCTTTATATATTTTCTTCTCAATAAATTATTATTTCGATGACTTTATTCAATCGCAGGCAATCCCAAAGTTATGTTCGCGATGGATGTTTTAAGCCGTTTATGAGCAAATCCGCATTTTTTATTTGGAACGGTCTTCAATTTCAGTGAAAATACTGAACAGTGTAGAAATAAAAATTTCAAGTTTGTCAGCTGTTGTCACCAAAAATTACAATACCTTTGATAAGATTGTTTTTAAACAGTGCTAGTGAAAATGAGTCGCTTTGGAAGTGATTCTTTGACTAATATTGATCTGGCGATTGAGTATATGACTAATCTCTCGGTGTATGCAATGTGCGCAATTTATTAAAAAAACATAGGATGTCAACCCTAACACACAACTAGATGAGTATGCAAGGCTCACCTCGTTTGTTGCGCAGATATCCTGTTTCCCTCAGAAGAGTTGGAGGTAGACCTAATTTCCACTTTGGAGACACTTGACACCCACGTCACAACACTAAAACACCAAAGCAATACTGAGAGACAATCTAGAACCCTATAGAGCTCTGCACAGAGCTGTGAACGCCTAGACATGCCGCCGCGTCGACGGTTGCCGAGAGACTGAAGCGTGTGTGTGTGCTGTTGATGATGATGTTTACGTTGACAGGGAGCAGACGCGCGGAGCTTCGGATAGTCTATACTATAACTATCTAAAACTGTAATGACTCATCGATGTTCACGTGAACATCACTTAACTACCAGTAGTCGGCTGTTCATAGGCGGGGAATGAATGTTTAACATGGGCGAACTAGATTTGTCACATGCTTAATAAAGAGTGGTTTGAAACATATTGTAAGTCAAAAATTTGGGAATTACCTTTATTCATCGTCGCTTCCACTTACATCTGACAGTAATAAACTGTCGCTATCGCTTTCCTCGTTGAAATTGACTATAACTGGCTCTATGATGGTGTCGATGTGGTGGTCAAGCTGCCGCATTTTTGTTTCTTCCTTCACAACATGACGGATAACATTCTGCCAAGCTTCGGGCGTTACTAGCTGTATGGAAGTCTCAAGTAAAACCTTAACGTCTGGTAATTTGAAGGTTGTGTTATGGCGCGCAATATAACCCTTCACTTGAGCCCAGATGAGCTCTATTGGGTTCAGTTCTCAGTGGTAGGGCGGTAACCGCAGCACAGTGACACCACATTGACGGGCCATCTCATCAGTCACGTAACTAATGTTCGCAGGTTTGTGCTGTTTAATTTTTTCATACAATTCCGCTTTCACACATGAATCGTCAAACGGGATTCCTTTTTCGCGCAACCATTGGTGCATGTCACTTTTTCGAGATCCCATAGTCGGTACACGTTCTGGCTCGACGACTATGGTAGGAAGCATTATCCATGACGATCACAGAGTTGGGCTCAACTCGCTGAAGCACCCCTTGAAACCAGCTCTCGAAGCAGCTGGCATTCATTTCGTCATGGTAATCACCTCCTTTCTTAGAGACGAAAATCAAGTCACACTCTTCTAAAAAGCCACTATCGCTACCAATATGAGTTACGATCAATCTTTGACCTTTCCCTGACGGTCCACGAAGACCTGTTGACAAACCTTCAATGCTTGCTTGTCGGTTACTCACTACGTTTTTGTCTATCCAGGTTTTTTTAACTGTGTGACCTGCATTTACCCATGTCTCGTCCAAATATTAGATTTTTCTGCTTTGTCGCCTATATTCAATCATTTCGCGTAGGTATTTTCGACGCCAGACGACTATTTCAGGTCTCTCTATCAATACTGACTTCCGATTACGCGTTTCGTAACGAAAATTAATTTCGTGCAGGGATTTCCTCATTACCTCGACGCTCATTTGGGTTATAATTTCATTTTCCTTGATCGCTGCATGTACAGCCTTGAGGGTTGGTATCTCATTCCTAAAGAAGAATGAATGTACGGTTCGCCTTAACGCCATTTTGCTATCGTCATCCAATTTAACGGCCTTTCGTCCCTTCAAATTAAACTTTGGATCAGTAGTAGCTCCAGTTTTCTTCTTTTCATGCACCACCCTGCGAATGGTCCACTCTGGAACGCCTGTCATACTTTCAGAACGCGCGAGTGCATCTCCCTGCGATATAGTTCTGTTCAGATAATTGAACACGTTGAGCACGATTTCTTTCGCGTCCCTCTTCAGTGCTTTACGAAGCCGTCTACTTGTTCCCTGGCTGTCGGTACTTCCACTCGTGCCATTTGTACTCTCCATGGTTAAGTATAACCAAAACAGTAACCACAGAAACCACAACAATAACAATCACACAACAATTCTTATAAAAACACACAACATGCGATCGCTCAACGAAACACGTTCCAATGCGTTGCCGACGCCTATGAGTGTGCCGGTCGAGGCGCGTCTTTGATTTCATTGGATCTACCGGCGGAGAACAATCAGCCATTATTTCCATCTCTGTCTGTACTGTTCACCACCGCAAAGCCACAGAAACGACATATGTCGTACGCTATACGGCTGTACTGGAAGGAAGCCGGGATCGAGCTCTGATCACGTGTTGATCACGCGTATGAGTCATTACAGTTTTAAATAGTTGTAGTATAGTAGGGTATATTTCAATAGTTGTCTTGCGTGGCCATTATCTTTATTATTATCGGGCCAACCTACCTTCCAAACATCCGGACACAAATAAAAGAGGTTAACTAAAAAAGAGCAATTAAACGCCATACTTGTCAAAGCCGAGATTGTGTCAGGTTGTGTTCGGCAACACCGCACTGTTTCCCACTCTCCCATGCTCCACTCCACTATAATGTTCGTATTCAGCGCCCCAAATTACCTGATTGTGGAAAGCTCGCTCGCATGTAGCCATCGATAGTAATTGAATTTTAGCATAGCTTTGGGTTTTCTAATGGGAAATAAAACGCTCTGTACGATGGAATTTTGTATTAAAAATAATTTCACAATAATAACAAAGGTTGTGTGTATATAGAAAAATAAAATAATCTGTGAAAATCATCTTGAAGCACCCTAAGGCCGAACAAATTGTTTCACGCTGGTAATTTCTATATTTTCGAAAAAAAATACAGTTTTCAGAAATTAGATACCAATCAAAAAGCCTTAGCATACCCAAAATCAACAACGCTTGCATTCATAGAAGCAAATCAGTCAATCGACAAAAATAGAATCGCGGATCATTTTCTGATTAATACTTTCAAGTATATTGCGGAGAATAATAAATAGAAATTTCAATAAATACTTTGAAAAAATCTGCCAACATAACTTCTCTATGTATGTACAAAAATTAATCAAATAATTTGATGCAAATTCGGAGTTGTTCTTCGCTCAATTTTTCCATAACAATCCTGTATGAACGAAAAATTACATATATACATTAGGAGCTAATTTTGAGGTCTATAAATTACGTATATATCACTGTTGCTCAACCCGCAGAATTGTTCGGTCGATTTACTGTAATTTTATTTGGGGTGAACATGTTCATTATGTCCATCCTGAAAGAAAAAAAGAACGTGGTAATTAAAATGAAAAACAACATTGTTAATTCTACAAACACTTTACATTAAGCTCAATCATTACAGATGTAATGGTCGGATGAAAAATGTTTTGGAAATAAAAACGTTGAAAAAAATCTGATTACCTAAAGAAATCTTGGAAAGACTATTTTTAATTAAAGGGAAATTTGTATTTTTAACATCGTTTTATTTTCGTCCCACATCCAAAGATCAGTTGTCTTTATTAACTAACCAAAAAGATGCAACATTTCTGATATTGAAAAATCGTGAAATTAGCATAAAAATATCGTTTGGGTAGCAAAACAAATTATCATTCAGAATTTTACTGATTTCATGTTTGTTTTTAAAGCACTTGTCTCACCATCGACATTTACTCTATTCCCATTTGTGTACTTTATTAAAAATATAAATTGTCTTCCCTACGCTTTGTAGTTTTTTTCCATGATTTTTTAAGATCCGTTCAAGTTGATGACCCACCCTGTTGTTTATGCATGCAGCGTCATATTTTTAATGTTAGCATAATTCCTAGGTTTTGATTTAAATTTTTTTCATATCCGGATCTAATTTGTTGATATAAAACCTATTTCGAACATATACTGCGTTTTTACGCGTTTAAATGGAAATCGTGCTTGTGTCTGGAATCATAAAAATTATAATCGGCATTTACAGTTAGTCACTAAATTATTTTTCATTTAATAAATAAAAATGATAACTAGGTGTTTGTTGAAATTTTTAATATTAAACTATTTTAACGTTGATTTATTGATGCATATTTATTTCTATTTAGTATTATGGGCACATTATTTCGATCGAAATCTTGTCGTAGCTCCCGAATCGTCGCAACAATCGACTCGTTACTTAAGTAAAACGTTTTAACGATACGGACGCAGTCAGTTATATCTTGGCCACCCTGTAATAATAATAATGTATGTTCAATGGGACAGAAAATTCTATAAAAAATGAAAAAGGTCATGAAAACGGCGGTGACGAATTAAAAAGTAAAAAACCATAATCTAAACAAAAAACTCCTCGAAGGTGTATGAACATTTGTCTAGCGAAAAAATGTTATAGGCTGTGTACTTATCGGATCGCGCTAGTAGTTTGATATCCGTTATTTTTTTAGGAAAAAAGGGTCAGCTTACTTGAGGATGTGCGGCAGTACGGATTCGTCTAGTTTGTATTTCCTAACGGCGATCATGCACAGCGTTTTCAAGGAAGGGTTGAAATCTAGCACGTACATATCGCTGTGGTCCATCAGCTTATCGTCCACGTCTTGATCGTGGGACGAACGGGACGGTTCAGGACTGAAATTGCAGAAAAGGCTTAAAAGTAGTTAAATATTGCAATGTATTGCTGGTTAGGCCAAAATACGACGGTGGTCTGAAAAGTTTCCGACCTAACAAAGATATAAGAAACTTTTTTTATTTTTCAACATGTGTGACTCTACACGCGTCTCCCAGCGATGCTCCCAGTAGTCGCGTAAGGCGGTTGGTCAAGCAGTACAAGTCAAGTAATGATGCGTAGTATGTTCCTGTAGTGGTTTTTCCTTTTTGAAAACAATGGATTAAAATAACTACCTGACTACCCCAGAAAAACAATCGCCATCATTTTCCCAGCCGAAAAAACAGTTTTTGCTCATTTTGCAGTCCACTGTTTGGACTGTATTTGACTTTCGGGCGTGTAGGTGTAGCATCTACAGTAATTAATCGGCGCCTAAACTCGGATATATTGCGCCTAAACAAACTGCGCCAACAGAGTGTTGCAAATGTTCACTCGATCAAGTTTTTGGTCTAACGTGAGCAAACGCGCCACCCAACGCGCGGACAGCTTTCTCATGCCTGAATGTTGACATACTATTCGTCACAGCGGTCCGGTGGACCTTTGCTCTTAGTTAAAAGTCTCGTCGGTCTGATAGTCTGTCAGGTCTGGCTACCCAGATACCAAACGTGTTTAAGGGGAAAAGGGAAAGAAAGGAAGGAAGAAATAGAGCAAAGAAAAGAAGTAAATCATTTGAAATATTATTATTGCTTTGACTACTCGAATTATTTTGTAACTCCAAACAATAATTTTGATCGGTTTTGTATGCTGAAATAATTTTGGCTGGTCTGAATTTACAATTTCATTTTGATCACAGTGCGAGGCGCGGCCTGGAATGTTTGCGAGCTTGCTCGACTGTGTAGTCTACTGAATCACGCAACAGATGGTTGCTGTGCGATTTCGCTTGATTATAACGCCGCTGCGTCTGTTGTTTTACATAATCCCTTGGATATGGGATATCAAGATCTCTGTGAATGGTCTCATTTGACACGTACCAAGGGCGTCAGTATTTGCGCGTGGGGTTCTGTGTTGTAGCACTTGCAGTCTCTGCATGTGCGTCTTGGCAAGAAAACACCAAGCCGCGCATGTGTAGGTGATCGCGGGTCTTATGGCCATTTTATACTACCGAATCTTGTTGATCAAGTATGTTTCTGTCAAGTCAACCCCTTGTCGATGATGTCTCCAAGATACCTGACCGATTGCTCCCATGGTATACGATTTCCATTCACTGATATCTCTGAGGGGGCACCGCGAGGTTTTTTAGCACAATAGATTGCCCGCGTTTTCGAAGTATTAATTTTGATCAACCACCCACTTCAATACTTCCTCCGCCGCACTCTGCAGCCTGTCGTGAACCATGTTACCAGAACAAGACTGGGCTAGCAGTGCAGTGTCGTCAGCATAGAGATAGACTCCAGTTGCTGGGGCAAGGAACGTCATGTATATAAAGTGAATAAAGGATTGGTCCTAAGACCGAACCCTGAGGAACACCGGCTGTTACGGGCCGTGTTGTTGATAACACATCGCTAATTTTAATCCGAAACTTCCTTCTAGAAAAGATTTCAACAGTTTTAGGAGCCAAAATGGAAAACCCTTTGGATGAGCTTATACAAGAGGCCCATGTGCTACACCTTGTCAAATGACTTTAATACATCCAAAGCAAGATACCAGTACTTTTGTTCAGGGTGAACCCCCTGGTTACATGCTCCGCGAGTCTAACTATGCTCAGACCGAAAGCAGAATTGTACGTCAGGGATCACTTGGTGATTTGACGAGAAATTCTCAAGGTGACGAGAAATCACCTTTTCAGCGAGCTTAGATGGAGATGAGAGCAGACTTATGGGACGGTAATCCTAGGGGAATATCGAACCTCCCTTCTTTGGGATCATGATGACTTCAGAGATCTTCCACGCATTAGGAAAGTAATGAGTTCTGAGCTATGCTGAGATTCGTCTGAAGAGTCTTCCGTAGAAGAAGCCTGAATGTTGATTTAATATGTGACCAACACGTCCTTTTGACATGTTCATAATCTCCGCTTTCTTTCTCTCTTTAATTCGGCGGTCGTCTCGCACCGTTCGGTGAACTTCGGCGATGTTTCCGTCGGTAGTTGCAGTTTTTGGACATCGTGAACGTTCATCGTCTCCCAAGCTCTTACGGCCACGTTTTAAATTCAACTGCCCAAAATTTCACAGGTGGTAAATGACGGTGCAGAGTCGCCATACACGGAATCCAACTCATCTTCGATTTGCGTGGTCGTATTGTCTTTCAAAAACAAATATTTAATGACAGCTCGATGCTCGATTTTGTCCATTTCCACAAAAACACTCAGTCAAACGACTGCGCGTCCAAAATTGGTGAAACTTTGGTGAGTAACAGATGAATAACGAAATTCGCTAGCTTTTATTTATGATCTTCGCGTTGACGTCGAAAATTATTCAGACCACCCGCATATGTTTAATACATACCTAGTGCCCCCGAAAAGGAAAACCCTATCTCCAACTGTGACGCAGGCTTGCCGGCGCCTTTCGCACGGTCTTTTTCCCGGAGGATTCAATTTTTTCCATACGCTCGTTTCAGGATCGAATTGGTACATGTCATTGAAATGCTGCTCTTGCACCGAATTGTACCCGCCAAAGATGTACATTTTCTCTTTGTACACAACTGAAAAATCATTTTATTTGTACAACTAAAATAAACCACGACAACAGTTTAGACATTTGACTATTATATAAGATTATTGAATAAATTATTAAAACACTTTATAGTGACTGTTCCAATATTTTCCTGTCATGCTTTATTTTTGGACTCGTTATATCTGTTAGAAATATTATGACTTTTTAATAGATGAGGAACTAAACGTGTACTGTCTATCAATATAATTTTTAGGAGATAATTTCCACGTCAAAAAACTACATGGGAAACATGCAATGTACGAGTGTATATACTCACAGGCTGAATGACTTCTTCTGCCTGGAGGTATATCTCCGGAGACCGGAACCCTGCGCCAAACGAAGTTATTCAAATCGAGGGTACCAAAGTTGATTGCAATATCGTTCTTGAGGCGTTATGTACCAACTTGAGGGCAGAGTACCTCTGCCTCCAAACAAGTACATGCGATCGCCGATACAGACAGTAGTGTGGAAATCTCGCAAACTCGGCTCCTCACCTATACAATTCCAATAAAACGTGCTTCAGAATAAATAAAAATACAAAGGGTACCGTGAAAGTTTCGCAATATGACTTAACAAACGGACGTAGGAGGCTGCATGTTGGAACATGTCCATGAGTGCATAGTAGCCGCCCGCATCAAGTCTGTTGATTTAGTTGTTCGTTGCATGTGAAAATTACGCTAAAAGGAAAACGGTTTTCCATTCATCCTGAGATGAAGGATCTTTGAAATTGATCTTGCAACATTTGAGGCATCTCTTGAGAGTAACTCGGAAAAAATATAACAGAAACCACAGTTGGTGTTCCTTTTTAGTAGTTGTTGTTGATTAGAGTTCTAATTCATTATTAGGTTTCTATAACACAGTTTATATTAATAAATTATAACTCTGCATTTGAATAAGTATTTTTCCTTTATGTAGCTGATTTGACTATAATTACCCTACTAATAACACTGATCAACAGCCAAAAAATATCCTAAATAAAATCAACAAAATATTACTATTTTTAATGTGCTAATACCGGAATGAAACTTATTTTTTCAATATTAGTTCGAGTTTTAGAGATACGGTAATTATATGTGTTCCTGCTATGACAGTGTTAATATACTGTAATTCACAAGAATGCACGTGCTACATTTTTATATTCGGCAAGGAAAGATGATGTAATCGGCATGATTGTGTTACGTTATACATACGTGTACATTATATTGTTTTATATTAGCCATTTTTCCTCAGTTGGCTGACAGCGTTCATGCAAGATGTCTCGAAAGTGTGTAAACAATCCAGATCAGTTTTGTTACGTGTGTGGTGATGTGACTTTTGCGTCTCAGAGACGGTCTATTACTCCACTAATAACAAAGGCATATCAGCTTTATTTCGGTTGTAAACTAGGTGATCAAGACAAACAGTGGGCACCCCACATCTGCTGTAATACATGTGCTTCAAGTCTGAGGAGCTGGTTAAATGGCAAAAAAAACGGTATATGCGCTTTGCTGTCCCAATGGTTTGGAGAGAGCCTACAAATCATATTAATGATTGTTACTTTTGCATGGTACCTTGTGTTGGACAAGCCACAGGTATGTCCAAGAAAAAAAAAATCGGTTATTAACTACCCAAACATACCATCTGCGACGAGACCTGTGCCTCACAGTGACGAAAATCCTATTCCAAAACCCCCAGAACCCTACACTTGCGAATCAGAAAACGAATCAGATCATGGCGATCAAGTGATTCGTCAGGAAGAAGATATGCCATCAACGTCAAGAGATCCTGATTTTATACCGAGCACGTCATGCCACCAACCGCATAAAATAACACAGTCAGAATTAAATTATCTTGTAAGAGATTTAGAACTTCCAAATGTAAGGCAGAGTTACTTGGATCAAGACTGCAGCAGTGGAACTTGTTAGAAGACGATGTTCGGTATGTGTTTTTCGTAAACGCCACAAAGACAGAACCATTTTTCAATATGGAGAATAACTTGGTTTTCTGCAGTAACATTAACGGCTTAGTGGCGGCTTTAAATATAAACTATAACCCAGAAGAATGGAGATTGTTTATAGACAGTTCAACATTGAGTTTAAAGGCAGTGTTATTGCATATTGGAAATATTTTACCATCTCTTCCTGTAGGGTATGCAGTTCACATGAAAGAATAATATGACAATATGAAGTACCTATTGACATGCATAAAATACGATGAGCACCAATGGCATATTTGTGACGATTTGAAAGTTGTTGCACTTTTACTTGGGCTGCAGCTAGGCTACACAAAGTTTTGCTGTTTTTTGTGTGAATGGGACAGTCGGGCAAAGGCACTTCATTACACCAGACAAAACTGGCCTGTTCGTCAATTCCTAGAGCCAGGTCAAAAAAATGTACAGCATATGCCATTAGTAGATTCGAAAAAATTTTATTACCACCACTGCAAATCAAATTGGGCCTAATGAAAAACTTTGTCAAGGCATTAGATAGAGATGGGTCAGCTTTTCAATACCTGCGTCAGAAATTTCCAAGACTAAGTAAGGCAAAGGTAAAGAAGGTATTTTTGTTGGGCCACAGATTCGAAATATTTTGAAAGATACACAGTTTGAAAACACTTTAACAGGTATTGAAAAAACTGCTTGGAATGATTTCCGTCTGGTGGTCACTAATTTCTTGGGAAATAGAAAAGCTGACAACTATAAAACCCTTGTCAAAAATATGCTGTCATCGTATCAAAACATGGGCTGTAATATGTCTCTTAAGATACATTTCCTACACTCACACCTGGACTTTTTTCCTGACAATTGCGAATAGCGCATATAGTGATTCTTATAAGTATATGAATCTTGTTACTTTTTTTAATATATCCTTAAAAATAATTTTTTTTTCTAAACCGCAACTATTTTTTTTTTCATTGTCATTTTTGGATTCAGCGCCCCAAAATTAACAAAGAAATGCACTTTTCCCACAAGATACAATTAAAAAACTAAAATTTGTTGTCCAGTGTAATCCACGAATTTACGTGAAAAAAAACTGATGTAAATACTGATTTTCACAAAAAAAAATCATTGTTTTAAACCAATCAACCCTGTATCAGTTATCCATGAATCCTCATAAAGAGTACTGTTAAACTTTCTGCCATATTCAAATATGTGTCTGCTTGACAGAACTAAACATAAATATGAATTTTGGTAATTCCTAATGTCATGAATAATAAGTCGTCTAGATGCGGAAGTAATAATGTAAAAATTATTAATGAAACCATTGTACAGTGCAAGGTAACACCTAACCTTGCATATGTGTATTTTATCCAGATTCTGACAGTATAGATGTTTCCAGAAATGTCAGAGACATATAATCTAAAAAGACGTATGTATGAGTTGCAGAGGTTCATAGTGATAACAAATCTGGGCCAGCTAAGATCGCATGCCAAAAGTATTACTCACCAGTTATATTTATATATGTCCAATGCTTTGTATCTAGATTTAAACAATAAACTGATCTTCCAAATGCATCTGTTTCTTCCTCATACCCGCCAAATACAATCTGAAATAGTTCGAATCTATCAAGCATTAGCTTAAAAAGAAGACTTCATAAAAATTGTCTGTTTAACAATTCAAAAACTTTTTATCTCAACCGCTCTATGCTGCAGAGACAAAAGTTTCTAGATATCAAATTAGAAAAAGGTCTGGTTTTAAACCTTATGAAACAGAAGTCTCATAAGATTTCCAATATGCGATTAGTGTTACTTATACAGGGTGGACCAATGAAAAGGTCATACCCCTATTTGTGACTCTGCTGGTACAGTTTGTAAAAATGCTTGAATAAGTCAATTTTGATTTCTAGGAGGACGTACAATAGTGGGTGAACTAAAAATAAGATATTATGTTACGCTTTATATTTTAAATGGGACTACCTTAATATCATCTTACATTCTAAATAAGACATGATTTGTTTAGCAGAATATTGGAATGCCAATGTGTATAGATATGCAAAATGCATTGCATTATAATTACAAGGATAATATTTTTGAAGTCTCAGTTCAATTATGTATTTGCTGAGAATTTGAAACTTTTTCAATGTCTGCCAGAAGAAAAAACGTGGTGAGTTTTTTACCATATAGTTTTTCCATTTGCAAGCTGTATGTCCATCTCTAGCTGGCGGTACACTTCCGGTAGTCTTTGGCGCTGTCCAGCAGTGCCATACTGTGTCAAAGCAGAATAAAGTAGAACATGATGCTCGATCGTTGCGACCACCCCAAATGTACACTTTATCTCCATATACTATTGCGGTATGACCATACCTAAAAGATGATTATATTAGGAAATTTTAAAAAACATAATTATATATTTGGAAAGCAACTTTTTAAATATACAGGGTTATCCAAATTAAGTGTCCACCATTAGTAACTTGTTATTAGTGAAAATACAAAGTTGTTTGAATTAGCAAACTAGTAGCATTTTTAACGCTGGTAAAAATGAGAAATAAAAAAAAACAATTGAGAGTCGTATTTGATTTTTTTTCAGTAAAATATCATTTTTTAAATGGAAACCCCTGTATATTATATTTTTTTCTGTTAAAGCATCAAATTTTAAACAAAAAAGTTCATAATGACTTTTCCGCTAAAGTCAAAATAACGATAAATATTTTAATTATTTGCAGTATTATAATATTAAGACGGCTATGAAAACAACATGGCGTTCGCGATTTGACAGCAGTAAGATAAGCGACAAATTGTTAAACTGGACATACTTGCAACTAGAAGGCTTTGGAAAACAATGATAAAATCAAATAATGTCAAACATTAGTGTAAATACTTGTTTATAAGCTTTATTGTGTCATTAATTTAAAGAAAAATGTTCTCCCATGAAGAAAAGTGTGATATGTTAGAATGCTATTTAGTGTGCAGAAAATCCTCCTTGAGAGCAAGTGAATTATATCCCGCTCGCATTCAACCGTATGAACGAAATTTTCTGAGACTTTATCGAAAATTTAGGGGCAACGAAAATGTTTTTGCTAAAACAAGGGCAAAAAAAGAATTCATAATAAGCGAGGCCACGGAAATTGCAGTTATTGGATATTTTGAAGCTTATCGTGAGAATTCAATAGCAGATATTCTCAAGGACTCTAATTTCAGTTATGGTACTGTTCAAAGGATTTTAAAAAAATACAAATTTATTCCGTATAAGTACCGACCAGTTCAAACGCTTTTGGCAGGGGATCCAGAGAGAAAACTTGTTTTTTGCCATTGGTATCTTAGCTTCTGTCGCCAAAATGTAAATAACTTTCGTTACCTTTTATGGACAGATGAATCAAATTTTTCAAATTCTGGA